AGTATTTTATTCAATGCAGTTTTTTTTTGTATAATATCTTTCAGTATTTTGAGTCTTGCCTTTCTTTATAAGATTTTGGTAGTATTTACTAATATTTATCTTATTTTAATAGGTGCATTTTGTTTTTGTTTTTTTTCTGATGTAATCATTTATATGGGATCACCAGTACAAACTAAGTTTGAATAAATGACAAGTTAACCTATGAGAGAGTGTGGTGCTTGTATGATGAGTGCAAAAATTTAATATTTTTTGATTAATCTACCAAAAAATTAGAATTCATAAGCAACATTGTTTTTAATGGGGGTGGGGATCCTATTTGCCTTTTGATTATTAGTCATAATTAGGTTAGATATTTTTAAAATTTTACAATAAATGATAAGTCTAAAGTATTTATTGGAATCATAAAGTGATATGTACTGATGAATTCTATTTCTAATAGCTTTTTCATCTATATAGTTAGACTGCATCTGGTTACAATAGAATAAGTTAATGTTTTTATTTTTGCTTAAATTATGATTGGTTTTGGTTTTTTTTCCTAAAATTCTTTAAAATGAATTGTAATTGTTAATTTATAAGATGATTTGGAAATTATTGTTGTGTGTCTTATGCTGCTCAATTCTTTATAAAATGTGTGATGAAATTTTTTGTTCAGTTAATCATATTTTTATAGCATTTTTTTAATTTCATATCTGTACAAAGAAAAAACAAACAAAACCATGAACTTTGGACAGTTTATTCACAATTCTGATTCATATTTACAACAACTTATTCTAAAATAGGAAAAATACAATAAAAAGATTAAACAGACAGACCGTGTCAGTTAAATTTAAGAAAACTTATTTCAATGAATTCATTCTGCCTACATATATTTGTTCCCAATCCAAATTCCATCAGGATCGACACCAAATCTATTTCTACATGTAAGTTGCTGAGAGTTGAAAAGACTCAAAACTTTGACATGGATGTAAAACACCTGATGTGGCACTAAAACTTTGATAAAGTAGCTAATGGCTTGCAGGTGCTTGGAGTTTTCCTCAAACACAAATATATTGTCTCTGTATCCTTGTCATGTCAAGGTGAATAGTTTCCTCTTTGACATTAAGCTCCAAGGTGTGTCGGGGAGCACAGACATTGAAGGTTATTGAAGAAAAATATGGCATATAATAAATCATCCAAGTGACTACATGCAGGCACTGATTTGGATAATGAAAATGAGTTATACTTGCTTGCATTCCCAAGATTCTGAGGTAGAATTAATGTGGGACACTCCTTTGTGAAGAGAATTATCATTCATTATAGAAAAGTTATATCCTCTATATTGACTCTGAAGACTCAAGAAGAATGAAAAATGGAAATCTAGTTGAAATTGAAAAATGATAGAAAAAAGTAGAGACATTGAAGATAGTTACATTTCACTACATAAAATTAAAAACACATGCTCACTAAGCACAAGCAAAGGTATAGTGAGAAACCCCAAACTATTCCTTTGCAAACTGAACAAGATGAAAATGGGTCACAAAGTGCAAAGAGTTTTTTTTTTTTAAATCATTTCACTCCAAGCAAGGTGGGAATGTTATTAGTACACAGGGGGTTACAAAGAGTGAAGGTGAGAGAAAAGACTGAGTATAGTGGGGACTGAGGAAAAGATAAAAGCTGAACAGGATTCAAGAAGATAGATGATGATGTTGCATTTAAATTGTAGTTATCAGGGAAGCAAGGAAATGGAAGGGAGTTCCACAGGTGGGAAGTGCAAGAAAATAAACTGTTGGAGTAAAAGTGGCGGATACATTTAACTAATTCAACAATAAAAAAGTGTGACCTTGATGCTTAAACTCACGTAGTCCATGCACCAGAGACAAAAGCTCATCAGAGCACTAGCCATGAAAATATTTATAGAAGAGACAAAAGGAAGCCATGTCACGTCAGTGAGAAAGTGACTGAAGTCGAAATACGTGGACAGGATCGATTACATTGCAGATCCTTCTTTGGATTTTGTAAAGAGCCTTGAGATGAGTAGCAAGGGCACCAAACCAGATATGGCAACAATATTCAATGCACAGATGAATGGTAGATTTGTAAATGTGCAAGATGGATGCAAAAAACCTTCTGGCACGACACAGTGAGCAAACTTTCCTTGCAATAGATGCAGCTATTGATTTAATGTAGTCGTTCCACTTAAAGTCAGTTGAAAATGTGAGGTCAAGAAGGCACAGTGTGTTGCTCTCCATGAGTCTAGCATCAGCCATGCTGATGGTGGGCAGAAAAGTTTCTCTATGGTGGTTAAATGAGAGCAGTTTCATTTTGGATGCATTAAAATTTACGAGCCAATCCTGTCAAATGCCTTTGAGATATCTAGAGCCACAGCTTGAGCTTTGCTGTTATTATCAACAGTTTGATATACATATTCAGTTGATGGCCGTTAGCACATCAGCAGTAGATCTGGCAAAACAGAAGCCATTTTGTTTGTCCGGGGTAGACCTCAGATGCAATGATTAAAAACTGCATTCCAAGGGACATCATGAAGGAAGTCATGGAATGAGTCCCAATCTGCTTTTGATAACAGAAAGATTCTGTTGGTAGGCGGTTCTTGGCTGGTAGGGGAATGGAAAGAAATGTTTACAGACACTACTGCATGATCAGAGTTGCCATGGTGATGTTAACTCGGTATGATACCACTTTTTAATTGAAATTTCTGTGAGCTTAGTGTCAGTGATTTGCTGCAAGACAGCAATAGCTGTTTTGACACCAAATATAAGGTGATTGAATTAAAACAATGATTGATATATATTGATTGTGAACATCTCTTTATCTAGAGCATTTTTAAATTGAATTTGAACTTTGGCTGACTATACCTTTGTAATATGTACTATTAATCATTACAAGGAGATCTTGTGAAATTAGATACCAGAATGTTATTCAGACCAGTTTAGTAGTCAACACAAATTCAAATACTGTTAACTTTCTTTTCCATAACAATAACTGCTGTCCAAGTGAAATAATTAGATAGGTCTTGATTTCATAATCACTTTTGTTCTTCCTGGATATATAACATATTGAATTAGTGTTTGGGTCTCAAAATAAAAGGAAATTCATTTGAAATATATACTTGCATGAGTTTGTGATCAATAACCCAAGTTGGTTTCATATACTGATAGAAACTGTCATTGAATGGATGTCACTGTATGAATTGGAGCATAGCAAATTGAAGTAATCTTTGAGAGTTATGTCTTTTAACCCAATATTTAATCCAGACCCTAAAAATTCAAAAAAATAAATTTCAGTATCTGTCTATATTTCTGAGATAAGGTATTATATACACTATTTACATTATTCAGACTATTGTCCTCATCTTTGTTGCCATATTTATCACATTTTGGCAGTTGTACACTCTGGCCTGGTGGTTGGAATGTGGAACTGAACCCTTTATTTCGCTCACTGGGGTAGACTGTTCTAGTTCCGTGTGCTAAATTACTAATGTGTTTTCAGTTATCAGTTATCTATGTTAATTCCCATCTCCAAGTTCTCCTTAACCAGGTATTGAACTCACACTCTTTGGGTCATGTTTTAAAGAATTTAAAACACAATCCCGCGCATCCACTGTGCCATGTGTCCTGGCACAATGGATAAAAAAATTAGTCAAATGTAGCATCACAGTTAATTCATAGTCAGTAGCATGCATAAAAGACCCTCTCTTGTTGATATGCATTATTAAAGTTGGTTTTGTTCATTTATTATCTATTGCGTCATTCTCAAAATACAAGGAAACAAGTTATAGATGGACTTGATACACTGGCTAACATACACACACATGCGTGTATTTGTGTGACAGTTGACATGTTTATTTTCTTTCTTGTTTGGTTTACTTAGTTGCTTATAAATTTTTTTTTTAAAGACATTAGAACATCTTTTTACCCTTTTCATCAAAACAATTATTGCAAATAAATGAATAACTGTAAAAAAAAAAAAAAAAAAAAAATTTGAAATGATAAAATGAATCATAAATAATAATGTTCATATGATTCATAGTTGTCTGGTGCAATATATTCAACCAAATATAATTTCATTGTATAAAAATTCTTTTTTAGATAAATGAAGTAAAGCTTGGTTTGTTTACAATTCTTCAAGATTTCTGAAAAGTTGGGTCATCAAGTTATGTGCTTTAAGATTCAGACTAATTTGTAATTCAGAAAAATTTGTACTATATAGAGGACTGTTAAATTATTTCGTAGTTTGATGCAAAAACATTATTAAGTGAAAGAACTAGTTAATCAAAGTGAATTGTCACATTGACTATATTTTTATTAGTATGAGTATTGGCATTAACAAAAATAGTGTCACATTTCCTTGACTGAAAAACTAAATTAATTTCTGATATTGTAGGCCTAGTGATTTATGCATATCAAATGTCATAAATGGACATTATATTTTTTTTTTTTTTTTTTTTTTTGTTATTGTTTACCAAATACAAGATGCAGGAGCCACTCAAGGTAGAGGGTTATTGAACGGGGTTGTTTTTTATGGGCATGAGAATTGTAAATAATGACAGTCTGTACAATAGATACTGATTGACACAGGGCTTGAAGAAGAGGTTAAGATTGTAGTGGATAGGGAAACATCCTCTCTGAATTTGTTCCACAAAAATGTACCACCATTTTGATTTTTTTATGACAATGTACATTTACATCACTGCACTGGCTGCCTAGATAGCTATTTGCAAAGTCTATACCCCAGTAGTGCTAGATAAACTATTGATTCGACAAGAAGGTTCATCTGTCATTTGATTGGTCATGTTTTTAAATCCTGCTAGGTGTCTAGCTACTCTCCTCACCAGGAAAGCCTGGTGGGGTAACTGGTTTAGTTACCAATGTCCTGGCTAATCGACAGGTAGTATTGGGTTACATGGTACCAGTAGCACTTGTAGATTGACCTGACACAATATCATTCATTTTAAGATTGGATTTATTGAGATTTAATTTCTTTTTCTCGGTCTTCTCTTTTAGCCGCCTCCGTTTCATCATGGAAGCCACGATTGTGAACCCGATGGTGCAGATCACTGTCGACACTGAGGATGTTGCTTTTGTTGTCGATGACTTCTTCTACTCCTTCAATGTGATCTGTGTCACTTGCAGCACCCAGACTGTCTTGGACAGAATCAACAAAATCTGCCACCAAAAAAATTTCAGTTCTTTGCTGGGGACGTTTTGGATATTTTGGTTACATGTTTTCTGATCTTGGCAAACATGAATATGCAGAGTAAGTTTAAACATTTTCTAAAGTATTTTTCCTGCAATATTTCTGTGTTAGTTTGCATTTTGGTCAAATATAAACAGATACTGGCACTTTACTTGAATATATATTTCCCACCTTTAAAGAATAGGAAGAAAAAGTTTTTGAAATAATTTTTTTTGATTAGTATTCTTTTGAGCTTCCTTAGGTTGTTGCAGTTCTTGTCAGAATCCAAAAATATTGATTTTATAAGTATTTTGTCCTCTTTATAACATCAATACAGTGCTGAATTGATTCCTGACTTTTACAGAGTTACTGACTAGTGTGTCTTGCACAGGAAAAACAAACTTTTTTTTGTGTTTGGTGTTACATAAAGATTTCTCTTAAATAATGAACAAATGTATATAGACATTTTTAAGGAAAGAACAAAATTTATATAAATTAATAAAATTCTGCATTTAATTTTATTAAATTAAAATAAATAATTATGAACCACAAATAATTGTTCAAGTGCTTTCCAAAAAAATCCCATATGAAAAAAAAGTTTGAAAAAAAAAAAAAAATGATTAAAAAAAGTTAAATTCTGAAAATGTAAAAAACAAAAAAAAAGATATCAATGATGTTAGCACATTTTTTCAACTTAAAATTTGTAAATAACAGTTAAGTGACTTAACCAATAACTCTTCAAAGTCAGGGATCAATTCAACATTGTATCAATAATATAAAACTGGAGCCCTTTTCTAAATCAATAACAAATGTTGGGGCCTAAGTAAAATTCTAAAGAATAACAAAAATTATTTCTTTAAAAAAAAAAAAAATTCCCTAATTTGTTATAGGTGGACCAGTATATTTAAGTAGTACACAGAACTTTTTTTATTGCTTGTCACCTCTGTCTTTGCCCAAACAATATGTTCGTTTGTGTTTTTATCTAAAGAGTTCTTAGCCTGTCTAAGAACCCCCCACCTCCACCACCTCCCAATGTTTGGTCCTTAATCACTTTTTAGGGTTTAGATTAGGTTTAGAACTTTCCAGCACACACTTGTAATTATATCAAATATTGTAAAATGTACACAACTAAAAAAAAAAAAAAAAAAAAAAGATTATTGTATTTGATAACATAAAAAAGATGTAGAAGGCTTATTAGCTCCCTGCCCCCTTTTTTCAGCAGTCATATACAGGTAAAAGTTTTTGTCTATATAAACATGTAATGTTTAAACCAGTCATGAGCAAACTGTGACCCATGGGCCACATAACGGCCCGATCAGCTTTCTGAATAGCCTGCCTAATTTCATGGGGAAAAATAACGTTTATTAAAATGTTGTTTGTTTCTTTTCATTCTCACTTGTTCACTTGCACATTCTCTATCTTAAATAACCACATACATGAACAATGAATTTTCTTGAATTTTTGTAACTTTGTTGAAGGTAAAAAGGATGTCCATGCCTGGTTTAGACCAAGCTATTAGTACATTACAAAGCATTAGCAAACCACTTTTGCTATAGCAGAGAACCTTACCATATACAAAAAGCAAGAATTACTTTATAGTTAAATAATCTTGTTCACTTAAAATTCAAAAATACTGTCACTTCTGTCCTGTTTGATAAATTGCCCAGACACTAGTTGTCAATACATTGATGTAGATGTTGATTCACACCTCCAAAAACCAATCACCACTGTTAGACATGCTTCTCTTATTTCCAACTAAATTTTTCTAAAAAAAATTAAGTAATGTTTGTTTCAATTACATTAAATAAACTTTAAATTTTCTAATTTTCCTAAAATAACTTTTTTGAAAAGTATAATTGAATTTTACAAGATTTTTAAATGGAGAATTTCACTTTTGTTGACAAAGTTGTCAAAATGGCTGACATGGTTGATTTTATGTAAATTTCACTGACTCAAAAAACGTTTTTAACTAAAATTTCGGACATGCTAGGAAGGATTAAAAATATTTTGAAAAAAAAAATGTTTTTGTTCATTCCTCTTAATAATATATTCTATACTATGTCAATAAGAAACATACACTTCCTGAATTTCTTGTCTTTTTTTTTATAATATTCAGTCAGTTGGCTTTTATTTCCCTGTTAGTTTGAATTGGCATATTCAGAGGATGATTACATCGTTATTTTGGGTAACTGTGGCTCATACAATCTGTCAGTGGTTTTGCTTTTCTGCTTCTTGCATATCTTCCAGTGCACATATGTCATTATCTTGTTATGTCTGTGGGTATATTCATTTTTTTATTATTCCAGACATCCTGAGATAATATAGTTGACAGTTTGATCATATTTTCCACAGATCCTGCATTTCAGGTTAGTTCTATCCTTGATTATGTGACAGTGATAGAATCTTTTTCTGTCTGTCTTATTATCATCATCAATAATAATAATAATAAAAATTTATAATAATAATAATCTTTTGTCAAATTTTTTTGCAGGAAGTTCCCAAGCCAAAGGCTAAGGAAAACAGATGACAATGAAAATGGAGAACCAAAGGCAAAAGCAAGCGAAAAAAAAGAAGTATTGAAACAATTGTTGTGAAAAAAGGTCAGTGACTGAAGTCTGCCATTTTTTCCTTTTTGATCTTCTGATGAAATAAAATTAAACAATTGAACAGATACTAAAATATATTGCATTCTTCATAAATTTCTTCTTATAATGCTTTATTATACATTTAATTGTGGTCTGCTTTATAAACAGTGAATATCATTTGTCTGAAAATTGGCTTCAATGAAAGTGTTAAATTGAATCTTCTCTTGGCTGAAATATCAAAGCATAAAAACATAAAGGGGAGATAACTGTTATAACGGAATGTTTTTTTCTTTTAAATTATGCATCGTTTAAAAATGACACTCGTTAATTTAATTGTTGCTTATTTACGATAATAAAGGATTGACAACAAATCAGTTGATTTGTTTAAAAACATTGTTTAATGTTGAAATCAGTTGAAGAAGCTAGGAAAGTTTTTTTTTATCTTTTGCATGGGTTGGTAATGAAAATAAAATATAAATAAATAAAAAAAGCTATATTAAAGTATAATCATTAAAATAAGTACCTCCACTGAATTTTCGATACCTAAAGTTTAAAAAAAATTTTAAAAAATGTTTAATATTCTTGAAGATTTTATTTTAATTTTAATTGAAAGCTAAATGATATTTATTATTTTGTAACTAAAATATTCTGGTGTATTTTAAATAGAAATTATATAGATCAAAATCGCAACTTTTTGGCCGATTTCAGAAAATCTTACAAGTAACCATTTTTTTAATTAATTAATAAATTTGTAAACAAAATAAAATTATCAGTTTTAAAAATCTTCCCAAAATAAAATATATATTTGTGACATGTCATTTGAGTAAAATTAACAAATTTAAAGTTAAATTAATCTGATTTGAAATAAACATTACCTACTTATTTCATAAAAAAAGTGATATACAAGCATTTCTTAATGACAGGTCTTGTTTTTTTTTTTATTTTAGTGACATTACGTTTGAAGATGCTTTATGAAATTTGGGTTTTTTCTCTAGGTACTTAAGTTTACTAAATTAAACAAAAAAATTACTTAATTGAAGTATTTCCCAAACTAAAATAAATACATACATAAAATAAAAATATTTAGTGAAATAGTAATTAAAAGTAATAAAACTTACTTTTTGAAATTTTGAAGGATGATTTTCAAAGATGTTAACCATGAAACAGAACTGAATAATGAAAGTGAAAATAATTATAGAATGACAGAATCTCTTAAATTAGGTTCCTCTCCACGAGATCGCTAAAAAAAAGAGCATAGCATGATGAAAAAGACGCCAAACTTGACGAAAACAAAATTTTATCGTCTAAATGTTTGTTATTATTAAGAGGAAAGGTCAAAGTATTTTTGGGGTATTTTTTTTTCATTTTTTAATCGTTCCTAGCACGTCCGAAATTTTCGTTAAAAATCTATTTTTTTTGAGTCAGCAAAATTGACCATTTTTTTTTTTTCATTTTAAAAAAAATAAAAAAATCTGACTTTGAAATTTTTTTAAATATCAATTATCATTTTTTCAAAACTTATTTTAAGAAAATCAGAAATTATAATGTTTATTTAAAATATTTTGAACCAAACTTAACTTAGCTTTTGTGCCAAAAAATGTAATTTGAAAATAAAACAAAGCAGGTCATAAACTTTCGCGTCTCTTTTGACATGTGATGAATGATATATTTACGAATTCCATGAGGCTAATTTGTTCTACGGAAGGAGAAAAAGGAAATAATTTACATTTACGTGAACAAATTATTTACCCCGTTATTTTTAACGAAAAACTTTCAGCGGTCTAATTTTTTTTTTTTTTTTTTTTTTTTGTACTTAGCTTTCACCTTTACGTTTATGATGCTTTATGGGAAATATATTGTAAAGAAATTAAAATAAAACTGTTAAGAGTGACATTAAATTTCATATTTCTTAAGAAAGGTATCTAATTAATTTATAGGTACCTTTCTTATGAAATTTTATCAGAATTGTACATAAAATACTATAATTTTATGTACATTTATTACATTCTACTGTTATTTGTATTTGCATTCATTTTATTATTAATTTTGATATTTCATTTATGGAAAAATGTCGTAACTGAGATTAATATAAAAATAAGATCATATAAATTTCATATGATACTGATACTTGTAGGTACCCTTCTCAGTTGAAATTGAAAAATCAAATTAACTTCTCCACACGTGTTTCTCAAAAAAGTAAAAAAATCTTAACAGCGGAGAACAATGCTTAACTCAAATAACGCAACTTAATTATATTCTGGTTGGTCTTCCGTA